TGGAAATGTCACTTTATGGCTGTTTCCATTTCTTTCTGCACTCCAGCTCACACGTTCAGAAAGTTTAAATGCTCCTACTGTTTGACCAACAAATCCTAAATACAGCACTCCAGGCTCTCAGCTCAAGTCTAGTCTAAACCTGAAGCCTGGTTATTTATTATCATTGCTCTGGATAACGTGGAGAACGAACCCCACCCCAGTGAAGCACAAGGTTTAGGAAAATTACTTTGAAAACACTATTTACTACAGAGCCAGCCCACCTTTCTGCACACAGCAACACAATGTAGATAACTCCTTGCTTTTCCTTGTTATGCCTGGAATAACAAAGCTACACAGATGTGGGGAAATCACATTTTAAGCCATTTTAGCTTTGCAGACAGGTAGCAGTTCCACTGAAATCCAGTTGGCATTCAATGATATCAATTACCACTGCTGTTAGTGACACCATCAGAGTTATTCCTGATGAACAAAACCAGTTTTAAAACTCTAATCAATATGAGAATTCATGAATTCATCCCTTCTCTTATTAGCCAGATGTTCTCTGATCACAGTGGATTCTCCTCTGCCCTCCAGCAGCATCCTCTGAACACACATTATGGTGCTTCAGCTTTTGCAAAACAAGTTTAATTCTCCCCCAGGGACAGCCAGAGGCCTCTGCTCTGAGCAGCTTCTCCACCAGATTCTACACAAGACACAGGAATGATGGTCAGGAATCAGCTCAGTGAAGGTTTCCTGATTGATTTTAACTGCTGGTGAGCTGGGAGGGCAGTGTGGAAAAAAAACAAACCATCAAGATAAAAACATCTGCATCCAGAAAAAACAGCTTGGAAAAATGTAGAGCACAGCTAAGCAGAAAATGAGAAAAATTAAAGAGAGAAAGAGCAATAAAGAGATGAAAAAACTGAAGACAGCAGCACGTTCTCTATTCATCAGAACACAGCAGCTCTGGGAAAAGGGGAGGGAGGAAATGGAGAAGAAGAAAAATACAAGGGTTTTGGAACTATTATTATTGGCAATTAAAGCTTTTTTTTCCCCTCAAATGGTGAAAATGCTGTTTCACACGTGTCTGCACAACACTGGCCACGAATGAAAACAGGAGGGAAAGGAACCAGCACAACAAAGGTACGGAAGGAGTGATTCCCATAAAATACCCCAACCCAATCCAGACACCTCCTGCTCCTTTCTAACTCTGCCAGCACATCAGCCCCAGCTCCCACCTACTTCCAATAAAGTGCTGGTCCCCAAAGGAAGGCACACTAAGAAGGCCAAACCCTCTCAGCTCAGGTTCTGCTCTTAAATATCCTGAACTCCAGGAGTCTGTTTATTTAGACTGGGATGCCAAGACCTGGTAGAGCTTAAAGCTGAGATTTTCAAAGAAAAGCCTAAAATGTCCAAATACAAATGTAGTTCATTTGTACTGAAGCATTTAACATGAAACTCCCAGCCCAGCTCTTCTCAGGCATGTAATGCTTTTACTTTTTAATAATTAATAATCACTACTTGAAAGATAATTTATTATTTCATACTGGGGGGAAATGCCAGAGAGAAATGTTCAGTGGAATAACCAAAGCCACAGGATCTGACAGTGGCAAAGATGAGATTATAAGTATTTAGCCCCTGTTTTGAGACCACTGCAATGTTTAATACTGCAGGGTAACAGGTCCTTTCCTCTCTGCCTGTGTAGGATCCTACCTCATGGCATGGTTTGGTTCCAAAAACCTTCAACTCTACAGCTCATGTGCTCCTGGGAGCCAAAAAAAGAGCAAATTTTAAGACATGCCCCCACTGGAGATTCTATAATGAAAGTACAAGATGCCACCCAACCACTGGCATCTCGTTTGTGAAGGAAGTTCAAATTCAGCAACAGGCACCAAAAGGAAAAGTCTACAAAAAGTCTGGACCCACAACATGGAGCAAATTAAAACACCAATATTTAACCTACCATAGCTTCATAAAATAACAGGGTTTTTAAGGATTTAAGTTGTGTGCCCTTCACTGCTCTATAGACAGGGACTCACAGAAGGCTTTGCACATTGTTGTGCCATGAATTAGTCAGAGCCTGGTTGTGCCTTGGCACTGAAAAATGCATTAGGGCTTTGAGTTCAAGATTTCCTCTGACTTTAATGATCTTTTTTTAAACACTACTACCACCAGCAGAAGCTTCAGCCATTTGCAATCTCCTAAAATTCTGAATTAACTGTGGTTAATGTTATGGCCTTCATTTATCTGTGGATAACACAGACCTTTATCACCAGTGCTGAGGCCACACAGATCAAATCTGTCTCTTCAGGGGAGAGGGGCTGGATGGGCTGATCCTCCTGCCAGTTCAGCCCTGAGATAGCCACGAGAGAGCTGAGTTTTCCTGGGAATGGGACACTTATTCCTCCAGGAACTCAGCTGGGACAAGGGACCCCAGGCAGCCCCACCAGCTCCATCCCTGCCAGCCCGGGGCACACGTGGGCTGGGCAAGGCTCAGGAAAAAGGCTCCACATCCCATTACCAGTCCCTGGAGCTCCACAGTCTCACACATGCACAGACAAAACATAAATAGACTTTGTGAATTGAAAACAGAGCTGTAAATTCTTCAAAAAGCACCTGTGAGGAGCGGGGCTGGGGCTGCCATTCTGGACGGGCTCCAGCTAAGTAGCAAGTCCCCGTGGCAGCCCTCAGAGCTCTTAAAAAGGTTTTCCTTTCCCCATTCCAAAAGCCAAGAATACTTCCCCAAGCAGGTTTCGAGAATTGGATATTAAGCTGTAAAAGCAGCTCCAGGTACTTGTTGTATGGAAGAGTGAATCCAAACTGACGGCTCCAAGCTGGTCTGAGAGAACATCTCAGCTTTCCACAACTCCCAGGCCTACGTGGAAGGCTGGAAGCAAAGAACACATGGATTCACATCCCAGCCCCCACTGAAGTCTTCAGCACCATCTTCCAATGCCAGACTGAAGGAGGAAGAGCTCCTCTCTCCTCCACTTAAGACATCTTGAGCTTAAAATATGACAGCCCAGAAATCTGGAGCGCTGGTTAATTTTCGATGACAGAGCTGCATTGTTTGGAACATACCAGTTTGCACCCATAAAAAACACTGAACAAAGGAAGTTTTGTTCACACTAAGGATAAACTAATAGTTTCCAACCATAGAAAATGGTTTTCACATGGTGGGGGGAAAAAAAAAAATAAAAAAAAAGTCAAACATACACCAAAGTGAAAGAAAATTGAGTTCGGAACTCGATGTTTAAACTACTGTGCAACTATAGAAAAGGAAACTGGGGAGTTTGTAAAAGGAAAAGGGAATGAATTGGGATGTTATGACAATAAGCAATTGACAGATACCACCACAAAATATTGCTGGATATAATCACACTGGGTTAAAGACAACTTGCAGTCATTGCACTAAGAAGAGAGTAGGGAAGGACTGGAAGCAAAAGGATAAACTTTAACACTTCAGTTTAGAAATTCAAACAGTCTGCATTTCCATTCAAACCAAATATCTTTAATTATCTAGAGATCATAAGGATTTAGATGCTCAAAGGATGTTAGAGACATCTACTCTAGTGACTGGGCTGAGTGTGAAGTGGCACCCAGCACTCTAAATTATGGCAGTGCTATTGATAACTGTGTAAAACCAGAAAATACCTTGCATACTGTGCACACATCCTCAGTGTGAAAACCTCAAAGCCACAGAAAATTGTTTGTAAAGTCCCTCAGACATTTCCCAGGGTTACTAGGTCAGGCTGTTATTCCATTTTTCCAAGTGGCCAATGCAACAGTGGTTCCCTCTAGCAGGAGGTCTGGACAGAGGAAGGATTGCATCTTAGGATACCACAGCCTTGGAGTATTTTTGCTAAATACACATCTGTGCTTGTTATTAAAAGTCCCCTTTGGTAGTTCCTGCTTTATTCAACTCCAGCTTGATCTTTCCTTTTTAATTCCAACGTGAGCCATTGAATTAAGACGATTTTTCTACTTTTGAAACGTCCAGCCTGCAACGGAACAAAACTTATCTGCCCCAAAAGCAGCCAACGTGCATTTCCCTGAACAGGAACATCCAGAGCAGATACTTGGACACCACACGAGGCAGAAACCAGTTCCAACCGTGTTCGAGACACGGAGCTGGGAGCGAGGGGAGAACCGAATTCCAAACAAAACTGCGCCGCGCAATTATCAAATAGGAACTTCCAGCCTCGCTTTGGTGCATTCCCAGATTTCTCCCCGCTCGGTGAGGCGGATTTTAAGAACACTTTTAACCTTCCCACCCCCATTTCCAAACAGAGATCAAAGCAGAGCCCTTTTGGACGGGCACCTTCCGCTCCTTACGCAACAAAGGCTGCGCTCCCAACCCCGCTCCCGGGGTTCCAGACACCATTCCCGGCCCTTTGAAGCAGCTTTAATGGTATCTCCCATTTGCAAAGTCACACCCGTGCAGTCAAAGATCTTAACTCCGAGGAGATGTTAATGTGAAAGCACTCAGACTGCAGAGAGACGCGGAGCCCCCGCAGAAAAGGCTGCCGAGGTGTGGGCAAGTCAATGTAACACCATTACCGGGGAGTGTGGGCTTAGGACCTGTCATAAACACTTCATAATCACTCACCCACCAACCCCACCGCCTGCAACACCTTATTAAGTGCTGAATAGAGCTTCGATTGTAGGAATAAAAAAAGCACAATGCTGCAGATAATGGCCTTCCCGAGGAGATTTTCACATAAATGTCAGATTGTTGCTTTTTCGGATTAAAAGCTTTTTTTTTTTTTAAGTGGAGAATGCAGGGTGGTGGTTTTTGGGGTTTTTCCCCCCCCCCCCCTTAGCTGGAATAACATTGCTTAATTACAAGCTAAATACTCAGCAAGGCCAAGTAGAAAGGTTTGTCTGATACCAAAGGACACAAAAAAAGTGTTGCCAAATAAGCTCTTAAATATCAAGTCAATCGCAGACTGCCAAATTTTGTTGTGCTCGAACTAAATAAGTGAAAAAATGCAAAGGAGAAACAACAATGTGGACAAAACCTCACCGGGTTATGCTCCTCCTAGATGTGTTGGATATACAAATCCTGCTCTGAAAAGACATTTAAAACTGATGTTAAGGACTGTGACAGCCCCCAAGACCATCTTACTAACACAGGAACCACTCCAACAGTGAATTTGTACTGACAAAAACTGCACAGGTCCGAGCTGAACATCCCTGGATGCGGCCTCAGAATTTCACAGAATGTACAAATGAAGGGCTGACAAAGTGATCCAGTATCTCTACAGCTGATATTCTTAAGGCTGATGGCAAAACATCTCCACATTTGGCATTTTCTGCTTTTCATTGCCCTTCTCCCCTGCTCATCACAAATACTCCTGCAAAACCTGAACAACGCTCAGAGAAACTGCCCTGCAATTTCAGTTTTGTTATTTTTTCCTCAAATACTAAATACTAGCAAAATCTAGGAATTAGGAAGAAGTGGAAAAAAAAAAAAGAAAAAAAAAAAGACAACCTGGTTGTATGGTCCTACTGAAAAGAATGTAAAAAAGAAGGTAGAAACAGCCTAAATTGTTGCTCATTCAGAGGTGAGGAGGAAGGGGGTTAAAAAAGAGAAAAAAAATGAGGGGGGAAAAAAAGAGAAAAAAATGGAGGGGAAAAAAAGAGAAAAAAATGGAGGGGAAAAAAAAAATCCATAAACCTGAAGAAAACCCTTCTTCCCCTTTAGGAGAAGTAGAAATCTGTATCTTAATGCACTGCCTGGCTGACAATGACACTGAGGACTCTAAGCCAGGACAAAGTCGTTTAACTTGTCATTTATGGGCGATCTCCATCGAATTATTTCCCGTTCACTGCAGTTTAGATGCAGGCAGGGAATGCAGGGCTGGCTACACCGAGGTGATTGTCCCCATCCCAAAGAACTGAAACACTTCCATTCTTCCTTCCCTCCCCCAGGTGAGATCCAACCCCACCCTGACAGAGTTTGGACACAAAGCCCTTCAGGACAGGGGCACAGAACCGTTCCAGATTTATGTCAGAAACACGTGTTCATTCGGACGAGAACATTTCAGCTGGATAAAACAGGGTGTTCTGTAAGGATTCTTTAGCTCAAGATGTGCTCCTGAGGGTACTTTAATTAATTAATTAATTAATTAATGAGGCGCCCGTCGCTCGGTGTCGCAGCGGCCCCGTGTGGGGGGTTCGTGTAAATGCACCGCGACACAAACCCACCTCAGGGACCCGATTCCCTGAGTTTTCACGGAATTACAGGATGGGTTGGGTTGGAAGGGACCTTAAAGACCATCTGTTCCGCTCCTTGCCATGGGCAGGGACCCCTCCCACTAGCCCAGGTTGCTCCAACCCGGCCTTGGACACTTGCAGGGAT